ATTGGCAGAGTGGTGAGACTTAGTCATATGGGGCCCTGTTTCTAAAAGACAGCATCTAGCAAGAAAGATAGGTATCAAACAAGCACTTTGGTCATGCCATATTAAGTTGCCATTCTTTTAGATTTAAAAAATGGTCAAATATCATAAATATTATATGGTTCAGAATGAACCATATAATATTCTGTAAATTATAGTGATATGTATGTATAATGGATGTTTCAATAAAACAGAAAGCAGGAAATCCTAACCTAGTCCATGGGGCAAAGAAGGCCTCCCTGAAAGTGATGTGTGAAACATGAGTAGGATTCAGCGGGACAGGGAAATAACTCAGATGAGGAAACAGAAGATTTCATTCTGGGAACCGAAATACGGGCTGTACAGAAAAAGGAAGACATACTCTGTCTTTTATTATTCCAGTGATGAGCTCTCCAGGTAATGAGTGACTGATAGCTAGCTTAAAGTATACTCATCCAAAGAGGATTTGCACTTGAAGAGTTGTTCATTAGTCCAAAGGCACACATTTCTAATGGTGGGATTTTAGCAGAGGAATTGAAGCCTCCTAAGATTAAGGAGCAGTGGCTGTTTAGGGTGACTGTCAGGCCAGCACTCATCACAGATACACAGTATAAAGGCATGGAGTTTTTCACATGCCAAATGATGCTTCAACAGGGAGCTGTTTTCTTTCAACAGGGCAATGCCTTCCAGAGCCTTCGGGAAGCAGATGTTGTGGCAAGAGAGGAGGTCACTGAATTGATCCAACTCCAGGCGGAAAGGATTTCAGCCTTAAAGGAGGAGATTGCTCTTTTGCGTAGGAAAGGTGGTCTTATCCTCCCCCCCATTCGATCTCCACAAGAGAAAGAGATGCAGCCCGCGGACCTTTGAGTTTGCTGTTTTCGCAAACCCATGCAAGATTTCTGACATAACTCACCTGAAGTTCTGTCTCCTCGTCACCTCCAACAATCTTATTACTTTAAAGTTAACTTGTTTGAAAGTCTAAAACCAGATCTAGTCACGTAGCTTTAAGAATCTCTCTACAATTTGGTTATCTTAGAACCGAATGCAGCACCCAACCTCTGTTATGAAACTGAATAATTTTAGATGTTTTGAACGTACTAGATTGAATATGAAGTCTCAGAAGGCTGTTTCATGATTGCTGTAAATCATCTGTAATATATTTTGTTTTAGGAAAATTCGATTTGGGGGTATGCTGAATTTTTAGCCATTGGCAAGAAAAACTATCATTCAGCAATTCGTGAGAAAACTTTGTTTTCTTGATCCTTAGAAAAGAAACTTAGATGTCATTAAGTGTTCCCTGAGAGGATGCAGGAGAAAAAGACATTTTGCCAACTGTATCTTAGAGCAGAATTGCAACTTTCAGTTTTGGCATTGTTGATTTCATAAAGCAGTTATTTGAGGGCTCGGGAGTCAGGAAATACAAACAGATATGGCAGAGCAGTTTGCTTTGGGTTGGCAGAAAGCAGGAAAATAACCAGCCTTCTTGGATAGCCCAGTTTTTGTAGACTCCTCAGTTCTGAGTGGACCAGAGGGGTGTGCTTAATAAAATAGTCAATAAGGAGGCTTTTCTCTAAAGATTTCTGCAACTCCATCCGAATTCTAAGTTTTCCCCATAGTTTCTCATGTCCTCTGCCATTTTCTTCAGGTTTTACTTGGGCCATTTGCTGGTTTTGATATAGACGAGGAGACAATGAAATAGATTTACCTGAGAGATCATCTTTCACAATCACTTTTGATTATGTATAACATTTGAAACTAATTTAAGAGGATCCTTTTGGTTTAGGGGTAAGTGCTCATTGAAGCTCATGGCTGTAACCACTGAAGGATAATCTCACTGACATTTAGAATCCTGTTAGTAACAGAGCATAGCTCTTTAGATTAAGACCTTTGTATTAATGAGTGACTCCATTGAGGCTGTTCCAGGATAAGCTGGTCACCGAGAAGGGTGGGTGAAGAAGGGAACATTGCATAAATATAGAAGGGAACTCAGCAATGCCAAGTCTTCCTCACCTGTGATTAACCTGCTAATCTGCCCCCCAAAATTAGATACAGGACTTGCTTTCTTTGTACATCAGAATATTCTTAGAGGTGGCAACTTGGCCTATTTTCTTCCTAAGATTCCTTCATATTCCTATTTAAGAGGTCAGAATACCTTATTGTTTTCACTTGTCACCATTAATTTCTGATGTAGTCACTTCTCTACTGGAGAGCACCCACTTATTTTTTAAAAATCACTTTCTTTGTTGTATATCCTAAACCATGTGTGCCTTTTGAGTATTTTTAAAAATATGCAAGTCATAGCCCTGAATGTCTTATTTATTGTGGTAAAAAATTACCCCAAACTTAGCTTGAAACAACAAACTTATGATCTGACCCAGGAGTGAGAGGGTTTCTGAGGTCCAGGAATCTGGGGACAGCTTGGCCGGGTGTTCTGGCTCAGGGTCTCTCGTGGAGTTGCAGTCACACTAGGAGCTGGGGCTGCAGCCATCTGAAGCTTGGCTGGAGCTGGAGGGGCTACTAACAAATTCACTCCCTTGGCCATTAGGCAGGGCTTCAGTTCCTCGCCATGTGGGCCTCTCTATAGGACTTCTCAGGACATGACTTCTCCCAGAGCAAGTGATCCAAGAGTGAGGGAGAGAGCAAGAGAGAATGACGCACACAAGAGCCACAGTCTTTTACAGCCCAAACCCAGAAGTGACATACCGTCACTATTGTCATATGGGTCACAGGCTGACCCTGTGTGATGTAGGAAGGGGCTGAACAGGGTGTAAATGTCAGGTGAGGGTTTCGGGGGCCTTCGTAGGGGCTGGCGGCTGCAAGCAGCAGCTACCTAGAGAGAGTGGCTGGTCTCTGAGAAAGGTCTAGAGGCGATACCATCCCCTTGGTAAGAGAATCAGGAGAAGTTATGTTATCTTCCTGGGCCTCATTACCTGACAAATGAAGGATTGGTAGAATGGATTCCTTCCCATTCTGAAATTCTGATTCTGATTGCAGCAAGAGTGAACCTAGAGTCTATGGAAGAGCCACGTCAGGATTTGCTGTGCATTTCAACTGAGAGGAAAACTAATCGGGATAATTATTCCCAAACTGAGCTAGACTAAATCACTAGTTAATTCTGCAATATTCAGGGCTTCATTCCGCATGTTTGCGGAATTGACAAGACAGTTAACACTCAATTACTTTATTTTGAATTGGACAAAATACGTTGATAGCTTTAGGTTCATTTCAACTTGATTCCAGGCTTAGTCTTAAATCTGTAGTTAAGTTAGAGCACCTGAATCTTTGGGAAGTTAAGCTTCAAACCCAAGTAGACCAGCAAGGTGTGGCATGGGTGGGTGGCTGGGAAGCTGTCCTGCTCCTGGCACACTTTCCTGCCTCCTGCTGTGCTCCCAGAGGAGCAGCCTCACCTCTGAGGGTGAGGCCAAAAATCAGCCTACACTGAGTTACTTGTGGGTCAATTGTTCATATAACTTGGCTATTCTGAACTCTCATCCATAGTATCGCCGATGATCAATCTCAGCATTAGAAGAAACAGAAACCGCAGAGTCCAGCCCCTCTGTCACAACTTCAGAGTAAAGGAGTTGCTCATGCCTGCCAGCCAGCCTGTCCTACCACAGCGGGCTCCTCACTTAGGGAGGTCTGTGAGCCATGCGCTAAACATTTCTTTAGAGCTAAAACCATTGAGTGCTATGATTCCAGTGCTGTGCAGAAAGCAGATGTTTCACGTATCACTTCAGAAAAGCTCACCAAAATTCATTTTCCAACTACCTTAGATCAAGGAGAAAAAAACAAAGGAAAAAACGTAAAAAACCAGTGTGGCTAGAAGGTGAGTTACAGCTCAGATTGGGAGGCCTCTGGATAGCAAAGCAATGACTGAGAGCCTTAGCTCTACCCACTCCAGAAGTGAGCTCTGGGCCGTGATGCCAGGTTGTCTGAAATCACAGTATCTTATTTTTTCTCTTCTCTTCCCTGCTCTGCTTCTCATTTCCTATCATTTACCTGTTCCTTAGTCCTTCTTTTTAAAAAATATTTTTAAAATACTGCTTTCCTGAAAACCACGCTGCATTTCCACAATAAGTTCTCTCTGACGTTGAGCTGTTGATGGAAAAAGGATGCAGAAGTCTGAGGAATAGCAGGTGCTATACTTATTTTGGCCAGCAGAGGATGCACTTGCCCTAAACAGTCAGAGTGACTCAATGCCCCAGGCTTCCCTAGGACCCTGTTTATCGAATTCTTCGGGTTTAGAAGCCAGGGTCTGGCCCCCACTTAATGAGATTGTCTCAAGTGGCATTTCATCTGTAACTCAGTTTTACTGAAATCTAGAAAATACAGCCCCCCCCCCCGCACCCTCTCCAGCCCCAAAACTCAAAAGTGTAGTAAGGTTTTCATTTGCAAGCATCAGTCTCCATCTAGTTCCACTTCCACATACTAAAGATTTTAAAATTTCAATTAAAAAAAGAATCTATGGTTGAGCCTTTGGTTGGACAACAGTATGTAAATGTTGATTTTAAACTAGTGAGTCAACTACTCTGGCAATGTTGGTGTATCTTTGGAAAGAAGGGAAGTCACCAAGTGAATTTATCACGCACCGTATGTCCATGTGTGGCACAGCACTTAGCTATCGTATTTTGGAGAAAATACTTGGTCTTCAACACACACCTATATAAAAAAGATTAGTTTTATGTCTTCAATATGACCTAAACTTCATCTCAAGTCCAGTTGGTAAGAGAACTGTGAATCTGTGTTTCCTGGTCTGCTGTACAACGGTTCCCTTGTGGACGAGACAGTACTGTGTTCTGTATGAATCCAAGCACAACTGACATTCACTGTTTTAAAAAACAAAAAAGAGAAACCTTTGCTACCTTTTCCAGATCTCATTTCTGAAGGACCTGAAAATATCGTAAGTGGGTATCTTCTTCAAATACTTAGAGACTGAATTCTAAGATCTAAAGAAAATGCTGACTCACACATGACTCAGTTGAAGGTTACAGGGAAGACTAAACATTTATTTAGAAGTTACAGTGTTTGTTTTTACAGAGATATGTTGCCATGGATTATTGATTCTGGAAGGTTTTTTAATGCTCATAGTGCTGTACACATCTTGGTCTGTTCTCATGGGCATCGTAGGAAAATGTTTCCAGTAGCATCGGATCCAGCCATCTGTGTGGGTGTCTCCAGGCTGTGATACCGTGACCCTTGCTTTTCAACCTCGTGGTTGTGAGGAACCATGTGCCTGGGATCCTTCCGCTTGCCAGCTTATCTGTGGGCCTCCAGCAGCCTCGTCTGCCACTGCAGAGGCCCCAGGTTAGGAGTCTGTCCCGTGCCAGCCTGTGCGGCGCTTTCCTGGGGGACTCCTGTTAGGTGGCGGCTTCTTTCTTTTCCCTCTCCAACCTCAACAGGTAGGATTCCTTATGTCTCTCCAGAATTATAAAACATATACATTATTTACAAGTGCATAAATATATAAATATGGCTATAATAGAAAAATAAATACCAATTTTCTCTGTCTCTTCTTTAAAAAAAAAAAATATATATATATATATATAGTCTTTCTGGGATATTGGATTTTGCCTAAATTGTGGGAAGTGGTGTTTCAAAAGACACACACACCGGTGGCCCCGGGGAGAGCTGCATTCCAGGTTCCTGTCCTACGTAGGCCCCTGTGGGGTGCTGGGGACACCAGTCTCCTCCACCCACTTGGCAGGAGTCAGGACTGTCCACCTCTTCAACTGGTACAAGGCCCAAGCAGCATGGGGGCCCTGAGGGAAGAAAGAGTAGGAACCATTAAAATCCAGACTGACCGAGGAGCCAACACCCAGTGGCACTGGGCCAATCTCTATCTATGGTGGAGGTGGTTACACTGGCTCTGGAAAGGACAGAAACCACCGCGACAAGGGCACTTCGGTTTCCTCCGAGGTCTCTCATCGAAACAGGGAGGGCCACTTGCACCCATTTCCCACTCATGCTGGGACCGCAGAGACTCCAGCACTGAGCCCACACCACAGGAGCAGATGAAGTCAGTGGAGCCCGCGAAACGCAGAAGGAAGCCCTGCTCTGTGTTTAGGCTGCTAGTCCACCCTTTGCTATGGCTTCTGGTTACAACCATCCCACTCACAATCCAGTCCCCCCGCACTGACACGGTCCAGTTTAAATGATGCTGGGTCGAGCTTTAGGACCCAGCATCTTTTAAATTTAATCTCCTAGAGACAGGGTCCAGGATCTGCCTATACACGGGCATGCACACAGAGAAGCTAAGAAACATTAGTGGATACTTGGTGAGGGCACCAAGTATCCACTGATTTCCAAGGAGACTAGCATGGAGGGAGACAATGGGATGGGCTTAGTGCGAATGGCCCCAAACTCCTTGGAGAAAAAGTTCTGTGGAAGTACAAAGAGTTATGATGATGATGTTTATAAGAATTTGGCTCCTTAATGATTGAGGCAACCTTATTCCTTAATTAAGAGACAAGCCTCAACAAAGCAAGGCATTTCAGAATGATTAGAGAATGCCTCTTAGTGTGATGAGCGGCAAATGGTATTTGTGAATGGCCTTGAGATGCAGAGACCAAAAAGGGTTTTTTCCTCTGACAAGGAGAAATGGCCTTTTTCTCAGAGGCTGAGGACCGCAGCTTATCACGCTGGAGTAGAACCCACCTGGACATCCCACAGACCTACGGGGCCTTCAGCAGTGAAGGACAGTGGCCAGCCACCCTCGATGCCCCATCCCTCCCACATCAATGCTGTGGCTGGCTCCTTACCAAGCCCCACCTTTGCAGACTGTTACTACTGGCTTGTGGATGCCTAGCTCATGTCACGCCCAGCCTGTTCCATTTCCCTGCCCTGCTCCTGCCACCAACCTGAGTGAAATGGAGGATCCCACATTGCTTCTAGGACGGGACTGTCGGGGGCTCTCCTCACCCCTGACTGGCCCACAGCAGCAGGCTGCTCCCGGCGTTGGCAGCAGTCGTGGTGGGGCTGCAGCAGCTGGTGAGTGGAGTCATCGGGCAGGGTGTATAAGAAAGAGCCCTCGTCCGGGCTAGACTCGGGATCCCTGCAGTGCACAAGCCCAGATGGGGAGGTGGGGCCGGGCAGGGTGGGCCTGTCGCCCCACCCCCTGCTGGCTGTCTCCCTGTCTGAGGGCATCAGAGCTGGTGAGAGCTCAGATGGGGCAAAGACTGCTTTCCCTTTTGAACATCAAGAGGTACCACACCATCATTTTCACTCCTCATTCTAGTCCATTTCCATTTTATTCCATGTGGGAGGATGTGAGGTCAGGTGTCCAGGGGCCCATGGGCAAAGTCAGTTGTGGTGAGTGCTTCTGATCTGCCTAGTGAGGGAGGATTCCGAGATGCCAACCCATGCCCCCAGGCAGAAAGGGCACCGCAACTGCAAATGAAACAACTGCCTATTAGGGCAACGGCTCAGAGGAGCATGATTGTCAGTTCCGGGGACCCCTGAGTACAGCACTACTGCTTGGCTCTCAGTGACTGGCCTTGGATTTGAGGAGCTAAAGGGAAAGTGAGGCTGTGGGGCTTGGGAGTAAAAGGGGAGAAGCCTGGTTACCTGGTGATCTGGTGACTTTGGGGGTCATATCCATTGCCAAGATGGGTCTGCCTCAGCAGGCGGCTGGTGTCATTCTGCTGCTCAAAAGGAAGAGTAATGAGATGGCCACGCCAGGGAGTCCAGGTAACTTTCCAGTGTTCACTGATCAACAGGAGCATCTGCTCCTGACTAAAGAAAGCCTGGCCCAGCAGCCTGGGCTGAGACCCTAGGAGGGAGGAGGTCCCCCAAGGCAGCCCAGTCACTCCCTCCTGGGTGTCCCATACCTGCCATCCACACCCAAGAGTGCACTACCTGCTGAAGCTCGCCTGGGCAGTGCTGCTGCGGCTTCATGCCCGGGTAGCCCACTGCAGCCGCGGGGCAGCCCCTATTCATGTGGATCCCATTAGCACAGGCCCGTCCACTGATGCCACTGAGGTAGCGCTGTCCGCTGGTCTGGTGGCCTGGGAGTCCTCCCAATGGCACCATAGTATATGGGCAGGAGGAAGGTGGAAGGGCACTTCGAGGAAAACCCAGGTCTGTTGTATGTTCTAGAAGGATAGGAAAACAAAGGTGTGCTTAGGCCAAGGGAGCCTGGGACGGGCTGGAAAAGCCGTCAGGAGCTCCTGGCCACAGGGGGTCGAAGGATGTAGGCAGAGGGTTGACGGTGCCCAGGAGATGGAGAACATTTTCTCTTAGAGTCTCCTTCGTGTGCCCACTTCTACCCGACACCTAGACTCTTCTGCCGGGAGAAGGGTGGGGAGATACAGGGTCCAGGGCTTGGGGGCAGGAAGTGGCGAGTGAAAAGCAGCAGCAATGTTTAGAGGAGGCAGGCTGACCAGATGTCCTGCCATCTGAAGCAGAAATTAGTGACTGAAAGATTGCAGGATAGAGGGGAAAGCTGAAGGCAGCTCCGCACGCAGCGAACAGGCAGGATGGACTCTAAGTAGGAACATGCGGTGAGAAGAGCAGCTTCGGACACTTAAGAAGATAGCACTGCATAGGTCCCGAGCTCCAAAGGTGCAGAGAAGACAGCCCAACTTCCCCTCCTTCCTCCTCCCCAAGCCGAGGTCTGTTAGCTGCGGGGAGGGGTCCAGTCGTCGGGTATTCTTTGACCTCAGAGACCTTCGGGGGACTCGGGCTTGAGCTTTCTGTGGACGCAGACCTAGGCACAGGCCTCCGTAGTGGAGCCCCCATTTCCCGCCCAGGCTCCTCCCACTGAAAGCGTCACTCACTCACTTTGCTGAGACCAGGCCCTCCACAAGCAGAAGGGGATGAAGGTGACGATGATGAGAACGATGGAGCCCAGGACGACCCCGACAATCAGATAGGGCAGGTCACTGGAGCGAGCCACCATGGCCCCAGTGCCCACCGGCCGCTCTATGGTTTCAGGAGGGGGCGGCTGTGGTGGGGCCAGAGTTGGGGGTGGCAGTCGACCAGGCTGGCCAGAAGACTTCCGAGCTGCATTGTGGACAAAACTCACTTCAGCATATGTTTCCTTGATATTTCCTTCACAACAAATAGAAAAAAAAAATACCCCCATTCCATGGGTGTGGGAAGTGGGGTCAAACTCACTAGATTGGGCCTCAAAATCTCTTATTTGAATGGCGTCCACACTCAGCATGAAATTGGCATCTAATGTGAAATCTGGTGGCGTGGCGGAGACCTGACCCTTACATTTCAAAGCAGAGCCTGAGATGCCTGTGAGCCATGCACCAGAGCTGGACCAGGTACTTCCAGCAGAAGTGGTGTAGTGCTTTTGGGAAGAGCTGGTGAACTTTTGGAAGAAAATATTTAAAATGCAGGAAGCCAGAACAAGAATTGGGAATGGAAGAATTTACCCACACCCAAGAGTGTGCAACCTGCTGGTGGACTGAGACACGAAGTACTATGTATGAGCATGGATCACAGCAGGGGGACGGGTGTTCCGGGACTCACGAGGACACACAGTACATGTGAGATGCCAATTCAGAGGTGGAGTCGAGGCCATCAGCTCCTCACTTCAGCTTTGCTGAGTATTAGGAGGTGCAGCTGACCCTGCTGGCCCTAGTGGCCGTCTTCTCCCCCGGCTTTCGGACTCTGTCCCCTGATGGTCCCCACCTCTCTGCTGCTCTGTACGCCTCTCCTTCCCTCTCTGTGCCGTCTGCCTCCGCAGACACTGGGAGGCCTTCCTGGTTCCCCTCTGTCTGTACTCTCTGTATATTCTCACCTAGTCCCATGACTTCCACCTATATCCTAAAGACCCCCAAATGAATCTCCCCATCTGGACCCCCTGCCTGGGGCAGGAGCCCTGCTTCTTATCAGACACTTCATTTCAATGTCTCCAAAGAGCCAAACACTCGGTAAGCCTCCAAGCGGTTTTACCTTGTTCCTTTCTCGTGAAATCTGTTTCTCTTCTTGCTGTTGCCATTTCAATAAGTTTCAGTACTTCCAGCTGGAAACTCCTTTCACTGTCTCCCAGCCCTAGTGCGCAAGCAGTCCCTGGTCCCACGGACACCTCCTTACAAAAGAGACTCAAACCCGTCCCTTCTCTTTATCTTTGCTTTAGAGCCCCAGTTCTCAACCCTGAGCCCATTCCCTGCAGTCACCCCAGTGACCCATCTCAACAGACAAATCCACTGACAGTCCTCCCCCACCTCACAGCCTCGCGTGGCCCCCGCTGTCCCTGGCTGCACCGGCTCATCTCACAGTATCCTCAGTGGCCTCTTTCCTGGGCATTCACTCCTATAACCTCCTTCCCAGTACCTGACACTCCAACCATCTGGCGCTATGTCTAGCCTTGCCCCCAGGCCACTCTCTCCTCATCCTGGCCTGAGATTCAGTCTTCCAGCAGACCACTGTGAAGGCTTTATGAAGCCTCTTCCTCCCTCTGGGCACTCCCTGCACCAGGTGATCCAGGATTCTGGGCTGTGCATGTATCCGCCCTCCCTCCAGTGTGCGTGACGGAAGAGGGCAGGGAGGGACACAGAGGCCTCAGGGAGGATCTGCTGAATGACTGAAAGCCAGTGAAGCAGAAGAGAGAATGCTGTTGCCTTGATGAGAGGAAAATGTGTTGTTCTGTCCCTATTCCTATTCCTTTGTGATCCTCTCTTGATTATGTTCTTTGCAATACAACTGCTTTATCTCACTTTCAGTACCTGCAAAATGGAGATAATGCTATCTCTCCATCTGACCAATGTGCAAATATTAACAAGTTATTATGTGACTACGTTTAACATGTTTTAAGTGCAATAGAAAGGGTCTGGTCTTGTAGTTAAGATAATCCCGGCCCAAAGCATGCTCTACCCCTAACCGGCTGCACGGTCTTGGCTAAAGTATGCAGCTTCCTCATGCCCACTTCCTTTCCCATCTCATGGGATTGTAGTTCAGTTAAATAAACCAACCCATGGAAGCACCAAATATCATTGCTGGAATAAAGTATTTATAGGAAGTTCTCAACTTAAGAATGAGGTGTATCCCCTGATTTCATGGATGAGTTAATTACCAAGTTCCTTGAAGGTGTCGTGATAGCCTATTTAGTACTAGGCACAGACAAATGAGTAGAGAGTGAAACATGACCAAGTCTGAGGTTATGTGGAAAACAGTCTTCCTGGAAAAGAGACCCAGCACCGCACAGGGAATGGTGACTTTGCCTTCCCTTGCTGGGACACCAAGACAGGAGAGAGAACCCAAAGAGCTTCACCTTTGGTCTCACAGATCATCACGTTGCTGAACTCGCTCTCCCCTCCTTCATTGAAGCACTGCATCTTAATGTCGTAGGAGGTCTCTGGCTGCAGGTGGCTGATGGAGTGCCAGTACCTGTCCCCTGGGAAAGAGAGTCAGAGAATGGTGCATGGCAATGTGCACATGGTTTTCTTGATCCCAATCTCATAGTCAGACTCAGCTGGGGCAGTGTGTGGGGAAGGATGCCACTGACTGGCACAGGGGTGGCGTATGGAGGAACGCTGGAGGAAATGTTCTAGGTGTCTACCTATGTTGTCCCATCATCATGTGGATTCATGAAGTTGATAGCTTCAAGGGTATTATGAATGAGTCAATGACATGGAGCTCAGAGCTTTGTGTCACACCAGACGCAGGTTTATGCTTCGCCAGATTTCACCAACACCTTGTCCCCCATCCCAGCGGAGGAAATTATAGCACACAGAAGCTATAAACACAGAATTGTGTCTCACCTTCCACCATATCCTTCTTGTAGTCACTATCATTGTCACTGTCTGTGGGTCGATAATAGATATAGAAGCCATGGATTGGGGTGTTGTTGTTACTTGCTGGGATGTACTATAGGGAATGGAGAAGAAACAAGTTGACAATGAGCAGAGAAAACATCATCAAAGCAAAACCACTGGTGTATGAAGCTTCCACCCCAGTCCAGAGTCTGAATTTCACTTGGGGCCCCGGCAAAGATTTCTAATGATATCTCTGAGGTTCTCTGAAAAATGCTGTGAAGATCACTCATTATTTTATTTAGCCTAGACGTCCCTAAGCTTTTGAAGAGAAGAAACAAATTGCCATTTCTCCAAAGACTTCAATTGCTTCTGATCTCCCTGGACATGTGAGGGGCCCCTGTGGCTGAGAAGGGGCCCTGAACAATTGTGTTGGGATCCCCTGTGGTATCAGGGAAAGGGCAGGAAGGAGGGAGAGGTCTACCAGGTCAAGGCACCAGAATCAACAGGAGACCACTAGAGCAGCTCCAGCCACTAAGAGCCTTCCAAATTCCACTGATGAAGCTTTCAGGTGCCCTGTTTGGGGGAGTCTCATCCCCAGGCTCACAGGGAAGGGCGTTTAGGGGAGGCCGTCTTCTGCTGCAGTCCACGGCCAGGCCCGCTTACCATCCACTTGAGCATGATGGTGGTCTCATTGACCGCGTCCGTGAAGGTGATGTAGGGACCCGCCACGGGCCTCTCGTACACGCGGCCGCTGTAGCCCGACACCACGTAGGGCCGAGAGGGCGCGCTGGGCTCACTCTCCCCCAGCATGTTCAGAGCCCGGACTCGAAACTTGTAGGAGGTGCCTGGTGAGAGGGACACTCACTGAACTCAGGAGCTGGGAAACACCTTCTGATTCTCCCATGGCCTTTCAAGGCCCAGGACCTGGAGGGTCTTCTGGGCAGCCCTTCCCCAAAGCAAGTTCTCAAAGGCCTCACAAGAACACCCGCCATTTTCAGAGCCAGGCTGCGGGGGAGATGGCTCTGGATGCTCTTCTGGAGGGAGGCGGAAGGCTTGTAGGACTGTGGTAAACACCACAGACAGCAACACAGAGGCATGCTGGTGGGTGGGGGCCTGGGCCGAGAGAAGGGGATCCCAGGCTCGTCATCCTCCTCCAGGTGGTCAGGGGCAGCTGGGGGATCAGGCCAAGGCCACAGCATGGCCAGGCCCCTACCTTTCTCTAGGCCTGTGATCTCCACGGACAGCCGCGACGGGGGGATGGCGCTGGTGGCCAGAATCCAGTCTCCCACTTTCTTTAGCTTCTTGTACTCCACACGGAAGGACTGGATCGGGAACCCACCATTCCCACGGGGAATCCAGGTCACGTACACTGAGGTCTCGGAGGCCGTGGAGATGGTGGGCCTGTCGGGAGCTTCTGGGGCTGGGAAAGACCGCACCCAGTAAGGAAGGAAGCAGGATGAGATGACGGCTGAATGCCCACTGGGCCTGGCCTGCTCCTGACGGGTCCACGCCTCCCCACAGCCCTCCACCCACTGGTGTTCACGTCAGACCTCCCCACGGCTTCCCGGGCTGCCCTCTCCTGGGCGAAGGCTGTGAGCTAAGACCCCTTATGCTATCCTTCTGCAAAGCCAGAGTGTGGAGGCCCAAGGGCCACCGCTCTGGCCTCTGCTGCTCTCTAGATGCACCCAGTCAGCAATCCCAGCATCAATGCCAGCTTTTTATTTAAAAAGCTCCAAACTACATTTCCTCATTGTGGTTAAATGGGAGATGCCAAGAAAATGTCACAAAAACCCTGGACCTACAGAAGTCAGACCCCATTCAGCCACGGGAACAGGCCCTCTGAGGCAGTTCCAGTCCTGACTGCGTGTCCCGTCCCTGCTGCTCGGGCCTTACGGGAGAGGCGGCCGTGGTCGGGCTGGCTGCTGCTCTGGGGACTGGCTCCAGGGTCGTCTCTCTGGATCTGCTGCTCCTTGCTGGCCATGATCTCGGGTTTGGGCCGCCGTCCTGGGTGGAAATGGGTTGTAGTCAGCAAGGGAGAGAGCAGGCATTAGATCTCCCTCCCACAGAGTCCTTTTTGCCTGAGACTCTGCTGAGGGGCGTGACAAAGTGATGCAAATAAGCATCCAGGGCACTGAGGGTGTGGGCTCAGCCTCGGCCGACACTGGCTCTGTTGTGGTACTACTGCTGGCCCCTGTGTGAGAGAGGGACGAGGGGGTGCCAGAGAGGCCGGCTGGCAACTCTCCTGATGAGAGCTGGGACCTCAGCCTAGCACACAAACCACAAGGAGGCGGTAGCTGGAAGGAAAGATGAAGTTCAAGTGAACGGATGGGGCAAGGTGAGCAGGAATTCTCACCTGGGCCACTGGAACTTGCTTAGACCCATGGAAACCCTAAGCAAGGGGCAACATTTGACTCTCACCAGTTCGGAAGGTGACCATGGCTGTCTGGCCCTCGCCCGCACAGTTGTAAGCTGCCATCTCCACTTCATACAAGCTCCCGGGGTCGAGTCTGGTGAGGGTCAGGCGGTGCTGGTTGGCTGGAATGCCAGAGATGGTCCAATTGTCAGAGGAGTTTGTGACCTGCTGGAGAAGGAGCTGGTATAAGGACTAGCTTCTCAGCCTAGGGCTACGAGTGGGCTGTGGTTTGCAAGGAAAGCAGTGCTGAGCCCAAGAGGGCAGGAGAAGGGGAAGGACAATGGGCCAGGTTGGGGTTGGGGCGGCACAGACTCAGACTGACCCCCCCTGGCTATGGGACACCAGCCTCAGTGGGACATTCACATCAGGCTCTCTGATCCCTCGTCTAATGATCTCATCAAAGAAACCTCAGTGGGGAAGTCAGAGAGCCTGACTGATATTGCTGAGAACTCCTCCAAAGACCTTTTCTCCCTGTATTTCAAAGAACCTCCATGTTTTGCTTTCTTTCTCCTTCTGTAGGTAAACCAAACGCAGTTCCCTCTGTTTATATTCTCATGAGACACAATGATGAGAAAGATAACGAAAGTATCAGCACCCACGAAATAGCAACATTTGCTAAGGGCTTACTCTGTGCTACACATGGAACTAAGCAGTTTATAGGCGCTACTTCCTTTTCCTCAAAATAGCCCAAGAGATTGGTGTTAATATTGTTCCCACTTCACAAATAGGGAGATTAAGGTTTAGAGAAATGAGCAGTTTGCTCAAGGCCACATGGCTAGTGAGCACCGAAACCATGACTTGACTCCAAAGAGCATGCCCATCGTTGCGCCCTATCCTGGGAAGAAGAGTCTGGGATCCAAAGTCCTGGGTTCAAATCCTGGTTGTGTAACTCAGAGCAAGTCCCCTAACCCTCTGACCCTGCAGCTTTGCATTTCACCAACGAGGCAAATAAACTCTCTCAGGTTATTCTGAAGATTCAATGAGAGAAGTTGTATAAAGTGCCCCGCAGCGAGCTTGGTGCACAGTAGATTCCCAACAAATGCCTGGCCCCTCGAGGCCCCTCCCAACATCCTCAGCCCAGTGCGGTTTCTATCATTTCAGTCCTCTTTGTTTCTGCTCCTGCCTTCAGTCCTTGCTCAGAACTTAAAAACTGTGGATGAATTGTGACTGTGATGGATTAATCCTTAAGAGCTTCAAATTCCTAGCTCTTTAAAGGAAAAAATAAGGGAGCTCCAGGCTCCCCAACAGGTGATGCTGAGAGGCTGCTCATCTCAGCTGCCCCACCTTTTGGGACAACAGACTTTACTGCCAACTCTACATCCCAGAGAGCCTGCTGGAGCCTCAAGTTGTGGTTTGCTGAAGGAAGAAAACAGCTGGAAGGAAAAGCTCTTCTCCCTGAGCAGAATATTCCAAAGTTGAACAAAACGTACCATTCAAGGCACAGGAACGGTCTGGGCTCATTGTCAGGCTTCCAGGATTTGTTCCAAGGGGAGACATTTTTACAAACTGAGACTCCCCAGTGGTGCTGGAAACCCAAACACAGTAGCCCAGGGTCTGCAGATGCACCAGGAAATGAAACTTGCTTCGCGCATGTGAAACAGTGAAAATTAGCTGAACGATCCCCAGTCCCCAGCAAGAGAAGGCGGATGAAAAAACAGCCCGAATGCTGACTTTTGATTTCAAATTCTTTCTTGGGGATCTTTAAGACTTGTTAGTTCCGTAAGAGAGGAACTGCTTTCAAGCCAGAACTTCTGCCTTGGCAACCCCAGGCTGAGGAGCCCCCAGGCTGGAGCCTAAGAGAAGCCAGAAGCAGCAGGGGCCTGTCCGGACTCTCACTTCCCCTGCGCCCCATGTACCCCTGTCCTCCCAGCGCTGGCCTCACACTTCCACCGGGCCCAGAAATGAAAAGAAGAAATAGAAGGGTAATTAGTCACTGTCACACACACTGAGGGGGTGAATGTGGCCTGAGCCTGGCATTTCCGGATCACCACGGCACGGCCTTTGCCAGTCTGCCTCTTGTGCAAGGCTGCTTCATGGCCACCTATTGGCCTGAAAAATATTATTCTTGCTCTCATGCTGGGTTTCGTCTCCTGGGAACCATGGGCGTTTGGCCTGCCCTGATCTTTGTCTACAACTCTGAGATGGAGGTGTCCAGTTACATGGGGAAATAGGATTAAGACTAGCCCTGCCCTACAACATGTGAACAATGCTGCTTTTTGTTAAAAACTCATTCACCCGCTTTGCTGGCTGCCTATGAAGAGGCCAGCAGGTGGAGGGCTAATGAGAAACTGCTCCCCCCGTCCCCCTGTCTTTGGGGAGGCAGTAGAGGGGGTATACGGGGTGCTCTGCCTTAGGTGTCTTTCTGACAGCCCCAGGGTCTCTGTGGACTTGTCCCGACCCAAGGTCTTCTAGGAGAGCATGTAAGGGGAAAGAACAGAATAGAAGGAGTCAGGGGCCAGGGCTCCAAGGCAGGAAAACGGCTTCTGCACAGCTAGCGCGCTTCACTGTGCAGGCTTGGTTCTGTTTTCTTGCTTGTTTGTGGAGGTGGGGAGGAGTAGAGAAATACTTTTAATTCCACATTCATATGCTTTCCATCAAGTGCACATAGCATTTTTATAAGCAAAAGTAATATAAATGCATAATAAAAATCAGCACGTACATGCTGTTATTTATCAAATACAATTTTTAAAAATCCATTTGAGAATAATAGTTTTCTACTATCGAATGGCCTTAGAAAGAAAATGGCGTATACTTGGAGTGAACAGAAACATTTTCAAGGATGTTTTCTTACGGGGAATTTCATGTCCTCATCCCTGTGGGGTAACAACAGGTAGGAGCACAGCCTTCAGCGAGAGTGGCTGCCCGCGGACCCTGCCCTGCCTCACAGGACACAGTGTACAGGAGCATAGGCCTGGCTGGGCTCTGTCCCCGCATCCCGTCAGAGCCTGAGACTCCCTCCCTGACAGCTCCTGAAACGTTCACCTGGACAGACTTCCTTCTGTCAAGGAGAAATAGCTGAGGTCTGAACAACATGATGTGCTTTGAGCTCAAATGCCTGCTTGTCAAACCCAAGTCATGACAGATTCTGAGAACTGAGGGGGTATTTTACAGCCTACAGAGAAAACACTTGTTCACAAATATTTGTTTTCCTGGCATTAGGCTAGCTGGCTTACCATGCCAGGGTTCCTGCAGGCATGTACCCAGCACAGCTTACTTTCATAAAAAAACAAAATGTAACATCAACAACTAACGACGGAGGATGATGGTTACCAGGGAGACTGTTTACCGTCTCCTCAGGGACTGCAAGCTAGTGTGAGCTTCTGGGAAACGTGTGCATAGAGCTTAGTACTGGATGCACGCACAAGGCTTTTTCCTGGGCCTTCCAGGGTCCCACACGACCATCTCACAAGCAGCTCCCTGGGAGGCAGCAGGGATGGACACTGGAGGAGACAGAAGGGCCTGATTAGTGGTGGGGATTACTGGTTCAGGCTTCAGGAACTCAATGGCCAGGAGGCAGTGACTCTGCTCAGCTTTGCTGGGAAGGCTGTGCAGGGGAGGCAGCGGCCCCACACCAGGGCCATACCTTGCGATGTTTCACCACATAGTAGAGGATCGGTGCCCAGCCACTGCCCTCATGCCGAGGCCGCCACACCAGTTCATATGAGTCGGTCTTGGAGGTGCGGGGCGAGCTGAGGATGATGGGAGCCTCGGCGGGAGCCCCCTGCCCCTTCTCTCCTGGACACTGCGGGGAAGCAGGCCGTGCTGATGTTGGGGGTCTGGGGAGCACCGGTTCCGCCCTCAGCATCTGCTCAGGGCTGCCGGGTTTGGAGGGTGGTGCAGGAGGTGTGCCAGTAGCCGGCTCAGCATCCTGCCGTAGCCTCGCGGTTATGCCTGGAGGACCAACAGGAAGGAGAAGGAAAGGTTAGTCTCCTGGTTTACCTGCTGAGCTGTTGAAATGGGCAGAAAACAGGAAGAAGTCAGAGAGGCAACCTGGGCCCACCATCAGCCCGACCGCCACCCACTCTGTGCTGCCCAGCCAGGCTCCATGGAAGACAGCGTGGGTGTCCCTGTTCTGCCAGAAGGAAAAAGCAGCCTGGTCTGCCCGGCCAGGGGCTCAGGGGTGGCTTGGGCATGGCAAGCAAACCTCTCTGTGGCCTGCTTTTCTCCTGAGTCCACGTGAGGTGCATCTCCCGTGAACTAACTCAATTTCCTCTCGAGGCCCAGGAGCCCTGCGCCTTCCTTCTCGGCCTAGGCTGGAGATGGAGACACGTCCCTTCATGGTGGACTCTTACCACAGCACCATGTGGGCCTTTTGCTACTGAACATGAGACATGAACACAACTGGAAATGTCCTCTGAGAGTCTGTGAGGCCAGGAGGGGCAGTGCTTCCTTCAGGTTTCTACAGAATCTGCCAGCACCTGTCTCTCCTCTACCTGACCTTCCCCACCACAGGATACGGGCACCTGATAATGCTGACTTAGCATTGTATTGTACTCATTGCTGTATTTTTCTCAAGTCGTTTCCCTGGTAAGTTTCGTCCCCATAGGGGAGTTCTCAAGGGCAGGGTCTTTGCCATGTTGCTCTGCACCCCCATATTACCTCTCCCCAGGCTAAGCATGGTCACTGCTCAGTTGGCATAGGCCCCAACTGGAATGAAGCTTGCTGAGAAGGACAGACTGGCTTTTCTTCACCAAAGCACTAGAGCAGTGGTTGTCAAACTGGGTTCCACAGAAATATTTTTTTAAATACAACAATTAAATGAATTATTTTCATTAGTGAAAATCTGCACTTTTGATTTATTAAGTTCATATAAATTTGAACTTACAACTAAAAGCTACTTTTTTCTATCTTATATACTGGTATATTTGAGAAATGGATTCTCAAATGAGAATCATCATCTGGAATCTCAAACCCCTGGGTTACACTCACTTGGCCTGGAGGTTCGCAGCTGGACCACGGCGTGGGCGCTCCCGACCTCGTTCTCGGCCATGCACTGGTAGACGCCTTCGTCCTCAGGCCCCATGCTGAGCACGCGCAGGGCCCTGCGGGAGAGCTGGAGGCGCTGGCTGGAGATGAGGGGCGTGGCATTCCTCAGCCACAGCACGGAGGGCGGAGGGTTCCCGCGCACCTCACAGGTGAGCTTGGCACTCTGGCCCCAGGGGATGACCAGCTGGGACAGCTCCATGGTGACCTCAGGGGGTTCTGCCAGGAAACCAGAGCAGGGTGAGAAGGACTGGGTCTTTCTGTCCCAGGCCAGATGGGCGGGGAGGGATGCAGTTAGGAGCAGCTCCCCCTGCCCTTCGGCTGTTGCTTTTTCCTAAGGGCAGAGTAGAGGGAGGGAGAGGTCCGACGTCTCCACCGTCAGAGTCATGACAGGAGGGCTCCAGGACTGTGTGCCCCTGCTCTGGGATCCGAAGAGCCCTGACTCTTCAGCCTGCCTCTGTTCCTCACCCGGCATGTGGCCTTTCACAAGACGTTAACCCTCCGTGAGCCTGGGTTACGTTTCTAGAAAGGCTGCACAGACCAGAAAGAAGGCCAAGGAGAAGACAGTCCACAGCAGACACTCACCAAACACCTGGACGTTGTAGAGGATGACCGCTGCCCCAGGCTGCCCAACCCCATTGTCGGCCATGCAGCGGTAGGTGCCTGAGTCCTCCTCGCTGGTGGTGTCGATGAGGAGGTTGCTCAGCAGGAAGCGCGTCTTGTTGTAGCCGGCGACACTGGACCCATCCTTGGCCCAGGTGACCCGTGGGGGTGGGATTCCACTGGCCACACACTCCAGAATGAGACTCTGGCCTTTGGTGACGATGATGGTTTGGGCCTCCGGCGGGTAGATGATGCGCGCAGCCTCAGCGGTGGAGCCTGGAGGGGCAAGGAGGGCAAGGACAGAAGGCGTGTGGACCAGGATGTCCTGCAGAGCATCCCCGGAGGCAGTCCCAGAGAGCATGGAGATGGGATCAAACAGCCATTCCGGGTCTTTCAACCTAGGTAGAGCGGGGCGTGCTACAGAATTCCCTTGGGGCTTGGTGTCCTTATCAGAAACAAGGGCTTCTTCTGCAGGGAGCTGTCATGAGTAAGAAATGAGATAACACAGAAGAACAGCAGCATCAACACAACAAATGCACAGTTAACGATGTGTGCTGGCAAGGAGAGAAAGGTGAGGGAACGGAGAGGCAGTGTAAATGGTACAGATGTTTCTTTCTGCTTGCCCTCAGTAAGAGCACTGTGAGGCTGAGGATGAGATGGGAAACAAGGACCTGCCATGCTCCCAGCCCCACCCTATGGTTCTCAGGCCCAAGTGTCCCTCACAGCGAGCATCTCAGAGCCGGCCTCCGGCTGAGCTGAATGGAATCCACTGTTTAAACACGTGCATTTCTCATACTGCAAGGTCCCCAAATGCAAATCACTATGTACTTCATCAGGACACAGCTGGGGAAGCTGTAATCTTTTTCTAACACTGTGGACAAACTGCACAGAACTCACTGAAAGGCACGTTGACTCTCCCATGTGTGCCACTCCTCAGCGACCTTCGAGGAGCACAGGGACCACGTGTGATTCTGCTTTATATGCCAACCAGGGACAGACCCAGGTTTTCTAAAACCTGAAATTTATACAGTTTTGAAGGCCCAAAAAAGAATGGAAAACACTAGATACGAAATTAGGCCCTTCTGAGGCCTCTGTCAGTGAGTGAAGGACTACGGAAGTTTCGCTTCATTAGTTTCACAGTGACTCCATCTCTGGTGCCAACTCTAAGCTAACTCCGTGTAAGACGCCACTTCTCTGAATAGGCAGGGACTCCAGACAAGTGCATGGAAAGGTAGCTGCTATTTTCCTGTGCATTGAGAGCATGTGGGCCTCCTGGACGCTCACCAGAGGGTGGTGCTGGGCACACCTCATCCGTGCAGAGAGTGCAGGCCCAGGGACCTCATGCAGGGCAGAACGGCGGCCTGGAGGCCTTCCATGTGGGCGTCTGTGCAAGGCACGTGCTGTGTCTGCTGCTGAGCTTGAGACGAGACCCACCGTCCTGCCCCAGCACACACATACTGACCCATCCCAATCATAAAGTAACGGTGAAGGAAACCTTCCAACAGGCAGGTGTGACAGCAGGCACAGTCACCTGCCAGAGCCAGGCCTGAGGGCTGTGTGTTGTGAGACGCTGGCCCTGAGGCCGGCCAGAGGGGAGAGAACCCCTGGCTGAGTCCCAGGTGTTCCCCCTGGCCAAAGCCGGTGCACACAGAATTGTAGCTTGGATGTGGCACCTCCAGGTATCTACCTCCCTTTCTATCTTTGTGAGCCCTTCCATCAGTGATCCCCCCGTCCCCCAGCAGATGGGCCCGGGCCTTACGGCGCACACGCAGCCTGTCGCTGGAGCCGGAGGTTTTCACTTCCTGGGTCACTGGGTTGTAGGCCGCACACTTGTACATGCCCTCATCCTCCTGGCTGGCATTCACAATCTGGAGGTTCCCCGAGGGCATGATCAGGTAGTTACCTGTGGAAAGGGCAGGGCCAGGGGAAGACGGGATGGGTTTGGGTCCAGAATGCTTCACTCTGCAGCTTCCACAAAGGAGACGTGCATGGAGGGAGAGGAACAGGTTGGGCAGGCACTAGGAGCTGATGTCCACCTGAGTCCCCACAAGACCAAGCCTAAGATGCTGTTCTCCCCATAAAACCTTGTAACAAGAGGGACAGAGTGCCAGAGAGAAAAGGTAACTAACCAACCAGCTAACAGACTGGCTGACTGACTAACTGCCACAACTTAGTGCATAGGTCTATGGAAGAGCATTTTATACTTTCAAGGGAGCTAGGGGAGGCTAGAAAGAAAGCAGGATTTTGAATCAGCCATGGTCTCATGCTCTGGGTCTGCTGGGTATTAACTGTGTAATGTAACTTGGGCAAGTTAATTAACCTCTCTGATCCAGTTTCCTTATTTGTGAAAAGGCTTAATGTATGCTGCCTCAGGGCCATTGTAAGGATTGAGAGGTCCATGCTGCACACATGAGGGATGAGATCATCATTCCTGCAAGCCTGGAGGAAACTGATTTTGGAGCTTCCCCTCATTCTCCCTTCCCAAAATGATGAGCAAATCTTCCCATCAGTCATAGCCATCACTCGGAATCGCCTCATTATTGCATTTTTGCCACTTGGAGAGGAATATTCTGACTTCTAACCACTGTCCTCCCCATGAATGCCACTGAAATCCTTTCTCCCACATCAGAGGCCTGTTAGGCTCTGTTTGCTCCTGGTCCACGGGTGCCATGGGCTGGTGCCCCAGGGGTGTTCAGGTTCTATAACTAGGAGGCAGATTCACAGCTCCTGGACACCCCAGCAACTAGGGTGGCATTTGGCTTCCTGGCAGGTAAAGCTATGGCCGTCAGTGCCGAGCTTTGCCCTGGTGGCCCCTCCTGAGAGCTGTGCTGTTGCCAAGCCTGGTGCCTGCCTGCTGCTGGGCCACCCAGGTATGAGCTGCTTAGCAAGTGCCAGATGGAATGGGAGAAACCCTTGGCCCTGGTGGGGCAGGCAGGCCTCTCCCAGAGGCTGCTGCCAACCTTCTGCTGGGGACAGTAGGGATTAATGCTCTTCCTCCCCCAGTCTCCAGTTGGTTCTGAGTGGTTGGATTAGGGGTTTCACCCTTTTGAAAACAGTTTTCTGTATTCTCTAAGTTTTCTATAATGAACATATGTTCCTTCACAACCAGAAAGAGTTAATAAAAATATCTTAAAATCTAGAGTATATTTTTAAAGGTATACTTATTTTTTTCTTCTTCTTGAGACAGGGTCTCACTCTGTCACTCAAGCTAGAGTGCAGTGGCACGATCTTGGCTCACTACAACCTCAGCCTCCTGGGCTCAAGCAATTAAAAGGTATACATTTTGAGCTATGGTGTCAGGTCAAGTAAGGTCTACTTGGCCTCGAGTACAGGGTCAGTTGTGAAAAGAGGCTGGCTTTGACTTCAGGGACAACCTCTTCCCCTCTGGCATTCTGTGGACCAAGTCTTGGCTTCTCTGGACCTGCTGCCATGTCTGTCCACAGTGGCTTGAGCAGGGAGCTGTGACAGCTGAGATAACTGCATTTACTATGCAAACAGGAAGAGGGAAAAATGAAGTCCACTGCAAAGACTGCTCTGCTGCATGGGGAAGAGCTCCACCTCCTGTCAGGGAACCCTGGGGCTCCGTGAATGGGCTTATTAGGCAGCCTTCCTGTGTGTGCCGGGAGGCACAGAGCTTCCACAGGCAGCATGCAGAACCACGTGCTGAGAGCCTAGATGGAACAGCAGCATCTCAGTAATCATCTTCTGGGGCCTGAAAGGATAAAGAAATTCCTCATGCTAAGACAGAGGACTTCCGTAATGGAAGCCACCCGCTTTGGGACCCTACAGGACTACATATCAAGAAAGAAGACATGACCAAGTATGGTGGCTCAAGCCTGTAATTCCAGCCAAAGCGGGAGGATTGCTTGAGCTCAGGAGTTCTAGACCAGCCTGGGCAACATAGCGAGACTCTGTCTCTATAACAAATAAAAATAAAGTTAGCCAAGCATGGTGGCATGTGCCTGTAGTTCTAGCTACTCAGATGGTTGAGGAAGGAGGATCTCTTGAGCCCTGGTGATGGAGGCTGCAGTGAGCTCTGACTGTGCCACTGCATTCCAGCTTGAGTGACCTAACAGGATCCTGTCTCTTAAAAGGGGGAAAAAAAAAAGGCAGGAGGACAGCGGGCCAGCATGAGGACAGGGCTGCTGGCATGTTGAGGGGGTTTGTGAGGCAGCCGCAGCTGCCCTAGCTTTGTTGAGCAGTGAGCGGTTGGAGAAGGCCAGCTTCCCTTCTGGCCTCAGCCTCGGCCTCTGGGTTCCCGCCCACTCACCTCTGGAGGCCTCCAGCCACTCTTGTTTGACGCTGTACCGGACCTGGGCTTTGGGGTGGCTCTCAGGCAGGTGGCAGGCAATGACTGCTGTGTTTCCCTCATCCACTTCAATCACGTGCTGCACGTCTAACTTGAAGTCCTCGAGATCTGTGAAGAGAAGGGAAGGTGCTGGTTGGAGGAGAGCAGAGCAAAAGTGTGACATTTCAGGGTGGGCTTGTGCTTTGGTGTTGCCAGTCATGACAAAGCTTATACCTAGGGGGATATTAGCGGATCCTCCAAGTTCTTCCTCCAGCCCCTTGTTGTCTACATGAGTTTGTAAGAATGTGGGGCCCTCATCACTGATGGGGTTCACTTTGTATGTACAAGTTGGGGGAAGGTGCAGAGAGAATCCCATCAAGCAGTGCCTCTGGCTCAGACCATCTGTTACACTGAGATGTGGGGGCAAGTTGGCTCTGCTTATCCACCCCAGAAATGGGATGGGTCAAGGTACAAATGTCCTAGCAGAGCTGTCAGAAGGCTCAGCTAACAGAGATGGAAGGGAACAATAAAAGAGAATGCCGATGTCTTTTCTCCAAGTTGATTAAGAACAGCCTTCCCAGGCTCTCCTCAGGCACCCACGATGACAAGCGATAGGCCTGAGACTGCACTTGATTGATGGCCATGGTTGTAACCAGAAGGCTGATACTTGCTGCTCAGGAGCCACACCCTGCATCACAGAGGATCCTTCCTTGGGGCTGGGGGCAGGACTCTGGATACCCTAAGGGTTTTCTAAGGCAAAGAGGAATCTGCCAGGACAACAGGCAGCGCCCCAGGGTGGCTTAATGGCAGTGGACTGCGGAGGAGCCGGAGTCCTGACATGAGGCTGTGGTCTCTGGCAGCCCCAGGGCCATCTCTCCTGGCTCGCCACCATGGGATCTAAACTGGGAGAGGATGGAGATCCATCTAGAATAAGAGCAGAATGTTTCCCAAGCAATCCAAGAGTCCAAACAACAAATCTCTCTTTGTATGAGCCAAATCACTGATGTTGCTGAGTAAAACAGGGACCACTTGCACAACAAAACTGCATGCGTTCCAAGTTGGAAATCTGGTTTTCAGGATGGTAGCTGAATTTAAGAGGAGAAATAAAACTAATGGAGTATAAGACAGATGGACATACTTTACCCAGACACTCTCTTCCTAAAGGTACTCAGAAAGCCCTGGAGGCACCGTCTCCGAATGCTGGCCACACCAAATTCTGCTCAGCTCCCGGGACTGATAGCATCGGGCCTGACTACAATTTCACTGCAAGACTGCACCTGCCTCTGCTGTTGTTTCCACTGGAGACCCACAGAGGGCTGGAATCAGGTTTCTCACAGAAGACAAGAGATAATTACCAAAAACAAACTGGTGTCACCCTAGCAGTACCTGGTGATTAAGGTATTCAGTGAGGTCAGGAGGCTTCCCACGTAATGGAACTTCCCAGCAGCTCTTAGTCAATTCAAACCAACACAGGGGAGGAAAAGGATTTTGTTTCTGTGAAAGGATTGATGTCCCTTTGATTACAATATTAGACTGTGAACTCTTTGGGGCATGGACCGAGTTTTGTTCCTGTCTGTGTCCCCTGAACCTAACCCGGGTCTTGGCCCAAGAACACACTTGGCAAGTGTTGAATGAATAAATGAATGAATGTTAATGAATGAATGAGTATCTTGGAAGCTGAGCCCCACAAGTTAGGTACAAGATGCCCATTATGCTGCCTAGAAACTCAAATTCATAAAGTTGGTCTACATTTTGAAGAAACGGACAAGAGCCTAGCACAATGAATGTTCTATGAACATTATATCTAAGTGTGGCCAGTGGAAGTTATTTTGCAAATAGAATGTTTCTTGAGAGGTTATGCGGGATCTGAAGAAAGAAGTGAAATAGGTCTAATAAATGTGCTATAAGAAATACATGACATTCAAGGAGTGATGTGGTGGAAACAGTGATAGGATGGACATTCCATTCTCCATGATGTGCTTATTTCACACTGCGTACCTGTATCCAAACATCTCATGTACCTGATAAATATACACACACACTATGTAACCACAGGAAAAAAAAAAAAAAACTTAAAAAAAAATCAGGGATTGGTTGTCTGATTCCCTTCTATTGCCCCATTTCACTTTCCAGGCTGAACAAGCATGATGCCTGCGGGTCAAGGTGAGATCTCCCAGATTCCTTCCTATGGGCAAGTGTAGGGCCTCCTGGGCTTCTAAATAATGATTTCAAAATTATTTAATGGTGTGTGTGTGATATCTGAGCCTAACTAAATTATAAATTCCTGGTGGGAAGCCTATTAATTTTTCACTCTTCACCCCAACCCCAAGCTCTATTGCATAGTACTGAGGACACAGCAAATGCTTTCTAAATCCTTGCTAAATACAGTTTGGAAGTCTGAGCCCAAGACCAGCTTGATGGGTGCGCAGCCTGCCCCTGCACTTGATGGGGCTACCACTTGGTTTAATGCTCTGCTTTCACCATCTTAAAATTCTTAATAATGCTTGAACGTGGGACCCTACATTTTCATTTTGCATTTGGTCCCATCAATTATTTAGCCCAGTCCTGGCTGAGCCTCTCAGCCAAGATAGCTAATGAGTTTCCTCTCAGAGAGGAGGAAGGTTTGGACTATGGGAAAGGAATTGCTTGAGCTCAACATGTTCTTGCTAAATATTGGTAACTGTGTTTTCTGAAAGCAATTCACTTAAAAAATGCAAAGGCCTTAATCCTCCTTCAGGCCAGTGCGCCCTGTACCTGCCAAGTCAGGAGGCTCCCCACAAAGCGAGCTGTGAGTGATTGTGAGCTTAGGGGCATCTGGAAAATTCCTCCGGCGCTGTGAAGCATTCTCCTCCATGGTCCAATAAATCCCAAACTACTCCACCAATAGGTTTTTGTTTTTTCCTCCTCCTTTTCTTCACCTCATTCCAAGGATATTTGCCTTAAGCAAAGAATATACTTAAACCTAGCAGATCATTTTCCAAGAAAGATGTAAGCAACTGAAAGGAGTTTGGCACCAGGACGCCATCTCCGTCTTCACGGCCCCAGGCTCCTGCCCGTTGTAATTGAGGGCTTATCCAGGCACGGAGGGAGCATGTACTCTGCCAGGCACCCACCTCAGTAACCCAGTGGTAGAAAACACTGGCCCTTTTAATCCCCTCTTGGCTTCTGCTGCACCCTCTGACAGCTGCTCAGCTGGAGACAGAAGGCTGTGCAGTGGGGGAGCATGAAGCTGGGCACTGGTCAGCCATGCGGCCAGACAGCCCCTCTGTTCTGATGCCAACATGTGCACAACAGCCTGTGCAGGCAGGACGGAGGGCACCCCAGCTGGACATCCAGCTCCCCACAAGCGGCGACTGGCAGGCGAGCCTTCCTGGCTTCAAAACAAATAAGCAGCAGTTTGGTTCTTGGCCCTGTCCGTCCTACCCCCATCCGTGCTCCCCCGCCCCCCGTGCCTCCTAAGCTTAAGCCTTAGCTTAAAACACTCCCAATTTGGCTGCTCGAGTAAAACTTGAGTTTCACTAAGGGATCAAAGGCAGAATAATGAAGTGATGAATGATCTGAAAATCAGAGGACTCCCTTTTTCTAGTGTTTTTGGACAGGAAGGGGGGCCAGGGAGGGGTGGGGAGTTCATGATCAATAAGAGCCTAATCAGCCGTCAGACGGGGCAGATGCAGAGAGGAGCTCTAGCTGGCGCATACGAAGGAAACCAGCCTGTTCCCAGGCCCCTTTGTCTGCAAAGCCGGTTTCCTGGCCGAGTCCCTGTGCTGCTCAGCGTGCTTCACTGGAAATAAGGGACGGGCCCTTCAATTACAAATGGGGTTAGCAGGCCTCCGCTGCAGAAAGATGGATCAGGTTTCATGGAGAAATGGTTTGACAGGACACCTGCCCTTGCCTGTTGGCTGGTGTGTTTGAGAAATCCATTAGAGGAATGTTTTTGCAGCTTTAATCCTCTTACCTTCCCTCCCCCTCACACCCTTTTTTCGCATCCTCTCTTTGTGCATTTTCCAGCTACTTCATTAACTTGTCCACATTAATCAAATGCTAGTAGGCCCAATCTTGTTTCTCAGCTCCCAACAGGTCAGAAGTCCTGGTCTTTGGGGCCATCTCTGAGTTTACGGACCTTATTTACTTGTCACAGAACTTTGCGATTTCTGAGAAAGCCCATGATATTTTGGGCTCCATATAGACCCCGGCCCAGTTCCTTCCTTCTGGGAGCTCAGTTTCCAAAGGGAAGAAGTACACTCTGATACATCACTTCTGTATGATCTCTGAACACAGAGGTTACAGGGATGTATTCAGACACACATCATATAACGTACTCTGTGCTTTCTCTTCACATTCAAAGGGCGCATCAGGCACAGAACCTTTTGGCTATGGGAAAAACAGAAAGCAAATTAAAGACTGTCAAAGGTACACGGATGTGGCTGCCATCAGCAGGACCACATGTGAAACTGCAAACTGGCACATTTTATCTTGAGTGTCTCTTGAATTTCTTTCTCACCACCTTCTAGTATCTTTCCTTTATTACTAAAAGGTTCGACAGAGCTATGAATTAAATTACATTTGGTGTATGTTCATGCATTCTCATAACACAAATTGTCAAATATTAATTGTAAGCTTATCCCCCAATTTTCATGGACTTTACGTGTCCAACTACAGAATGTGTTGGGTCTCAGTTAAATGCCCCAGGTCTAAGCCATAAACCTAACAATCACTTCCAAGGGAGTTCTTCATTCAGTCTTCTCCTGCATCCTCCTTTAAGCTGCAAATCGAAGCTCGATTCTGTTTGAAGTAAGAAGAGAAGATGCCACCATCCGCTGGATGCTGCATGGAGTTACCAATATCCCCATATCCATGAGCTCTGCTGAACGCTTAAAGAAATTTTGGCCTTCTACCCATGCGGGTACTTCTCACATACAGTCCTGTCCTACCCTTCGCCTGTTCCTGGGGATCACAGGGCAAGCCTGCACTCCTCTACAGAGGTCTGGATGGGATCCACCAGGTCATGGGGCACCGCATGGGGCTCACGTGGCAATGCTGCCAGGATGGCTTAGCAGCCTCAGGACCATTGACAGGTTTCTGGGCTGATGGATAATTCTATTCCCCAACTGTCACAACCTGCAAGCCTCAACTTGTCCCTGCAGCAGCTTACTGTGCCTGTGGCTAATGCTACAAAGCACAAAGGATTCTGCCCTAATGGAGCACTACTCAGTGGCATGCTGATCCTCTGGTCCTTCCCTGCACCTCAGTCCCTTTTTGAGAGACACCCAAGGTGCAGGAGAAGTAAAGTTACTAAGAGTTTTCTCTGACCTGGCTCATGGCCATCAGAGAGACTTGGCTGTAGAGTCTGAAAAGACAAAGCGTCCTTGACACTCCTCGCTATGTTGCCTCTGGCCAATATGGGGACTCGCCTGTGTCCCAAACTGCTTCATTGATGGACAAAGAGTCCCAACACAATTCTCGACCCCCAAGTCATTTGAGGAACCATGGCTTGGCATGACCCCAAGGTTATTCCTCTGAAATCAAATGATCTGCAAGTGAAAAGCCACGGCAGTTATCTGCTGAGGATGTGGGACAACTACAGAAGCAGAGGAAAGGCTGGAGCCTCATGGTGCTCTCATGAGGTCAGAAAGCCTGGCACCTGGTGAGTGGCTGGGGTTTACTGTGGGCTGGGCAGGCATCTCAGAAGCCATGCATTTGGGGTAGTGAATAAGTCTTTCAGCCCTGGCACATAGACACCTGCAGCCCACAAAGTGGGACAAAACCAGCATTTGGTAAAATACCATCCCTCCAGTCATCATCGAGTCATTCATTTAGCAAGCCAGGTGCTGCAGAATTGTCTGTTATGCCAAGCACTGCAGAAAATACAAAGAAGCAAAGACATAGCTGCTAACCACAGGGAGCTTTCAATCACATAGACAAGGCAGGACACAATAATTCACAAGCGTGGTGTTCTCCAGCGTAGTCCTCACCACCTCCACCAGCACTCCAGCCTAAGTCAACACCGTGACCTACAGAGACACTTAGAAACATGGCTGGCAGAGTGAGTACTGCTCCTCCCTTTGCAGGCAGGGAGACTGGATAAATATGTTTGCTCTCTTTGGGATTTTTTTCTGCCTGTCCAATTGCACAAATAATTTTGGCTCCCAAGCTCTCTCCTGACAACCATGGAAACATGACATGAAACTTCTCAAACACACTTTCTGATGAAAGCAAGGCATGCTCTTTTGTATTTAAAGAAAACAGTTTCCATGGGGAGGAGGAAGAAGAAGAAGAAAAACCAAACCTTTGTAGATGCCAAACACATTAGTTGCTAAATCTTGTTTCTGTCTTTTCCTTTCAGTTGAGAGTTGAGGTGGGATTTACACCCAGATTTGAGCAGTGAAAGAAAGCTGAGATTGGAGAAGAGATGAAAGAGACTGGGGGATGAGGGCTGAAAATCAAAGTCAAGACAGGAGAGAGAAATCTGGGGGTGGGCAGGAGGGGAAAGCAGAAGGGAGGAGTGGGAGAGGAAGCAGGAGAGAGACTAAAAAGAACCTATTTTGCAATGTCATTAAATGATTTGCAATGAATTGGCCTAAGGCTTCAGGAATTTCTTGGCTTGAACCAATTAAAAATATTTTATTTTTAAAAAAGACATAAGAGAACAAGAAATGCGATTAATCCTCAAAGACAAGTCAAGGATGGAGCCATGTCTCCACTGGGTCTGGCAGCCAGATGAACACAGAAGATGCCTGGTCTGTAGACCATCTCATCTACCCGACTTCAGGGCTGCTCTGAGGTAGGGCTGGTTAGCAGAACTGGGGAGTTTCTTTTGGACTAGTTGAAGGAATGAAATAGTTAGGAAAAAAGTATACTGAAGAAAGAGAAGGAAAAAAAGATTTACTTGCCAGCAACCCACATCACACATATTTCTCTGATCAACCAAATATAAACTATAAACTTAGCAGTGGGAAAATTAATGTGAGTCCTGGTGGTCTGGACTCATCATAGCCAGAGCTGGATCCTGGCACAGCCTTTGGAAGGGCTGGCGGCCTGTGCAGGAAGAGAGGGAGGAGAGAAAGCAGAGGCTGCGGAGCTCAGAGAGAGAATGGGGATGGCCGTTTGGTGTGGCCCTGAGGAACAGAACTCCAGGTGGGAGACACAGGGCAGTGAGGCCTTTTTCTTCCCACACACCTGGGAACTGCATTCTCCCATCAGCCTTGGTGGCACCAATCCCATCCACCCACTCCGAGCTGCTCCTTGAGGTATATGTGAGGACAGTGGTCTCCAACCTTTGTGGCATCAGGGACCAGTTTCATGGAAGACAATTTTTCCATGGACCAGGGGTGGGGAGACTGCGGGGGATGGTTTTGAGATAAAACTGTTCCACCTGAAATCATCAGACATTAGTTAGATTCTCATAAGGGGCGTGCAACCGCCCCTCACATGCACAGTTCACAGTAGGGTTCACCCTCTAATGGTGAATCCTATTCTATTGAATGGCGAACCCTACCCTACCCTACCGTACCCTACCCTACCCTACCCTACCCTACCCTACTCTATTCTATTCTATTCTGATAGAATCCAATGCCACTGCTGATCTGACAGGAGGTGCTGTTCAGATGGTAATGCTTGCTGGTCCACCGGACACCTCCTCCTGTGCGACCTGGTTCCTAATAGGCCATGGACCAGTACTGGTCTGCTGCCTGGGGGTTGGGGACCCCTGTGTTAGGTCATGGAGCCAAATTCACTGGCATCTCCCTGAGGTTCCAGAATTTCCTCCAAACATCTCAGTTTCTTTCAAATGCTGTTTTATGCTTCTGACATTCATCAACTTTTCTAAACCTTTCTTGAATCCATTTGTATCTTCATCCTCTTTGTATCCTGAGTTCTTGCTTTATCCTTTCTTATATACTTCTTGAAAACTTTTTGTATATCAGAATTTGAAAAGGAAATTCAGAAATTGTTAATTTACCCTCCGTATGCCCTTTTTGGTCTTCTAGACCTCAGACATGTTTTATCTGGGAGTCTTCCTCCTTCATGATATTCACAGAAGGCCTGTGGTGTGCCAGGCCCCATAGACAGCACTGTGGTCACAGATAATAACAGTTCCTACCCTACTGGTAGACAGACAAGGAAGGGCTGTGGAAGCAAAACCAAGGCACTAAGGAGACCGGGAAGAGAACCTACTCCAGACTTGGAAGTTGAAGGGGTCAAAAAACATTCCTAGAGAAGATACTTGAGTCTTGAAAACTGAGAAGGAATTAGTAACCCAAGGGAGGTGGGAACCTTCTGAGGATGGGGATGGAGAGCAAGATGCTGCCAGCTAAGGGACCACCATTCTGAAAGCTAGGAGAAAGTGCGCGATGGAAAGTGGGCCTGAGGGAAAGGCTGCAAGCACCTCGCTATTAATCACAATCCTCTCTATAGGAAAAGAAACGCTGCTTTTACTTCAGCAAGTTTTTTCCTTTTGTTTACATTTTTTCTCATTATGAAGTGATCATCCTTTAATTTGGATGTGAACACTACGTCTAATTAGCAGGACGGACTCACTGTTCTATAAAGCTCAAGATTATTACCAGACACCAAAAATGGCTGAAAGTCTAAAAACAAAGTCAAAGCAGAAATTGCTCAACTTTTCCACACACACACGAGAAACAGGGGATGCTGAGGTGTGAAGCTGTTTTTAAAAAACGAGGGAACCGAGGACTCATTTGCTCTCTTGGTTTTCATTTTTGCTTTAAAGGAACCATCTTGCACCATGCTCCTTAAAGGAGTCCAGTGATTTCAAGCCGGCAAATCAATCTTTCTCTTGGCTTCTGGTGCAAAAGGCTCCTCACACTGTGTTTTGGCTCACTGAATCAATATACGACATGCCCCTTCCCTTTTCTCTTAGCTTAGAAAATGAACCCAGGATTGTATTTAAGCATTTGCCTGTGAATGCAAAGAATGAATTGAGGACAAGGGTGGAGTGGGTTAAGAGTCCTTAAGGGTGTCCTTGGTAGAAGATGCACTATGAACTTGAGGTCTATTTGGTAAACAGTGACCTCTGATAAATATAGAATGGGATCCCTGGCTGTTTGGGACAGACATTTGCTGCCAAGATGCTCTGAGCAGAACTTACACCACGGATCTGTCTGGGTACTTGCACCAGGGCTAATAGGATTAGAGTGGCCAACGCCATTTGAAGATTTCACCAGAATATCAGGGACAATTCTTGTGAGCTATGAATTTCTGCCTGCATCCAGTAGAAAACAGAAAGCATTGATGTAACTTTGTCCTAAAGCTATAGGGTATTCCTTGTTCATTTCCTATTAAGATGCTCAAGTTGCTCAGCACCTTTTGAATCTCAGCCATCTTTCAGTCATTTTCTTGCCCAGCTGGCAAAGTAAAATATACATAACTTATGGTATGGAACAACTAAATTTCAAGCTCAAGCTGGCTCTCCTTTTCCAACTCCATCCCCCTGTGTGGAGCTGTCTCTCTGGCTCTCCCAGCCAAGGCAGGCTCACACTCCTCTCCAGCTGCACATCTCCTTCCCCTCCTGGGGCGGCTTAGGAAGCCACCTGTGTTTTCTTTCCCTCCAACCCTTCTTCTCACTGCCATCCCTTCATCCCAAAGCAAAAAGCTGTACAGGATTCCCTGACGCCCAAGCCAACACACAAATGTTTTTCCAATTTGGAGCAAATGGCTCCTCCTGTTTTGTCAGGGAGTCACTGGCTAAGTGAACCAGACGGGGGCGGAAGTGGGGAGTACCGGAGGAAACACTCTGAAGCTTCTTTCTTAATCAGAAAGTGTTCATACCCAAAGAGAAAAGAGATGAGGAACAGTGACAAATGGGGTGAGCGGCAAACAAGATGAGAGAGAGAGACAATCACCTGGTGGCTAGATTAAGAATTCGATTTATAGTCCCAGCTACACGGGAGGCTGAGGCAGGAGAATGGCGTGAACCCGGGAGGCGGAGATTGCAGTGAGCTGAGATCCGGCCACTGCACTCCAGCCTGGGCAACAGAACGAGACTCCGTCTCAAAAAAAAAAAAAAAAAAAAAAAGAATTCGATTGAGTTCACCATGGAAATATCTCACTATGGAAATAAAACTTTCTATGGCAGTATCGGTGCCATCCCAGAAACGGAACGGGGCCTCGGTCTGAATATGCAATGTTAAGAGCTGAATTTGGTTGTTAAAGGTCTGAGAAAGGCATGTGAGGACTCAGAAATTAAAAATCAAGGTTGTCGTGTACACATTCTTCAAGGCTCACCTCCTGAGTCTTCCGCAATCCCCTGAAATGGAAATGAATCCTTGCTAGCCTCCAAGCGCCCATTAAAATCTGTTCACATCTCTGTCAGGCAACTCACTGCGCTGCCTTGCTTTATGACTAATGTGTTAACAAAGTCCACCTTCTCCATGAGACTGAGAGATGTTCAATGGCCAGGACCAGATCTTACTGTGCCCTGTTAGAAATTCTAAATGCTTCCCAATTCTTAGGGCACCAACGTCCAAAACATCCAAATATAGGAGTCAGCACTGGAGAATGAGTGCTTTGCTGTTTTTCAAGTGGGACTCACGAACTTTGGTCTTGTCTTATTTAACAGAAACCTTTAGAAATAGAATGCATTAAGTTGGAAGGTACTGAGGACAAAATTAAACTAAAGACGTAGATTGTTAATTGGAGTAAGAAAATATATTCTGGGAAGAAAATTACAGTGACTGTTGGAAATGAAAGACGAATTCTTTTTATTGATTGAGTTCTTGCTTGTTTCTTCTCTCATCCTCTCCACCCTTACACTTCACCGAGGAGTTGAGAAAAAAAAATTAAGATATAGGTTTTATATATATATTTAAAAATCAAGACTAGGGGAAAATTAGGAAAGGATGGTCTTAATAAGATTGCCCAAATTAAACTACAATTTTGCTCTGAGACAGCTGTGGCCAAAGAGAATCCAAACAATATGCCCCTGCCAAGGTGAGAGGGCTTCATGAAGCTGTTTCTGCAACCAGTGAATGCATCTCTGGTAGGGGCTGGGGCAACAGGGTCTCTGTATCTGCATCTTCCAAAGGCGCAGCTCCACCCAACGCTGAAATGCAAAGCATCCTGAGGTTTGGATGGAGTTCATGGCTCCATAAAGTTAAGGAATAGCCATTGTCCTGGCAGTGTGGAAACATCTCTGTCTAAAGGTGCCATTAATGATTCTGGGAGCTGGACTTAGGGAGAAACTAATTTCTTCACATTGCCTCCAAAGAGACATATTCCAAAAGAACTCCAGGCAGGTGGTGTATTTCAGGTGGACAGTCGGGGACTGTGATGGCTAATTTCCTGTGTCAACTTTGCTAGAAAATCTTTTACTTTGAGTAAAATAATTACCCTCCCTAATGGGGATAGGCCTCATTTGATCATTGAGAGTATTAATAGCAAAGACATGTTTTCCAGAGAAGAAGACAACACAGAAAGCATGCCTGAGTTTCCTGCTTTTACCCTCAAGACTGCAATATCAATTCTTACCTGAATCTACAGCGTGCATGAGCTAATTCTTTAAAACAAATCTTTGTATAATATATAATTATACATAGACAAAATTAAATATATTACACATATGTACATGTATTATATATAGATGTGTGTATATATATATTATACATATATATGTGTGTGTATATATATATTATTGGGTCTGCTTCTCTGGAGAACCCTAATACAGAGATAAAGGAAGCTAGAAATATTTTAAGAAAGAAATGTCTACGGTGGTCCTTAATGGACTATGGACTATTCTAGTTCAGAGTCAGAACCTAGATGACCTTAGTGAAGTGTGTGATGGGAATTAGAGATTAGGGGGGCTGAGCAAAGAGACATAGCTTCTGTTTGTAGAATTCGCCATGCTGAAGGCCAGGGTCAGTCCAGCCTGTCAGTGCAAAACAGCAGCTGTCCGTATGGGGCAACAGCTGAGTGGGCAGCAGAGAACCCGCAGGAGCGTCAGTGAGCAGCTCTGCGGGCTACACTGACAATGCACCGTGACACTGTAGCTGCTCTTGAAGGCGGCTGGGGGTGGGAATCTGAGTTAGAGAACACATGTATATAAGGACTAAGAAAGTCGCAGGACATGGGTTAGTTCTCTCTTTATAAGAAGCCAGCCCTCTATTGGTTCTGGTTGTGACTGGAAGCTCTGCCACCCTCTGGACTGTCTTCCTAAGAGTCACTCCCAGAATGGAGCTGGGCAGCACAGGACTGGACACAGGCTTCAGAGCCTCCAGAAAGGAGATACTCCAGAAATATCTGACAACTACATGGGCAAACAAATAAAGCCTGGGATTTCTAAAATGCTCTCAAATACTAATATCATACATTCTCCCATTTAGCCTCAAAAAACCCATGAGACTGCTGATGTAATTATTGTGTTCATTTCACAGCTGTGGGAGTCTAAAGACCAAGTGATTTGCTGAAAGTCACGGAGCACTTAAGTGGCAGAGCTAAGGCTTAAACCCAGAATTTAACACTTTTTTTTAGCTTCTTG